CCCCAAAACCCCAAAACCCCAAAACCCCAAAACCCCAAAACCCCAAAACCCCATTTGCTTCTAAAGCAGTTGACAAGGAAAATTAATAAAACTTTTTTAAATGAGCGAAGAATCCAAGATTGCCTCTACCGACCTAGCCAATGATACTGCTATGAATAGCATCAAGGAGCCACAGTTGGAGAAATTTTCTGCGGTTGAGAAGGCTTCTGACAATATTCCAATTATCCAATACAAGGGTAAGACTTCTTTGCATGTTCTAGTCTTAGTGAAATTTTTGACCTTCTTTTTACTGAAATTTCTTTTGGTGCTCCTTCTTTATTCTATTGATTGCTAATCTTAATCCAGATATAGATAAGTGATTTGAAAGTATTGTAAGAATGTCTGAATACCATTCTGAGAGTGCCACCAAGACTATCCCCCATACCTACACTAACGAGGAGAAGCTTGACTCCTTGTTTGACACCAACGGCGATACTATGAAGAAGTTACAAATGCTTTCTAATTCCGAAGTTAAGCAGGATGATATTCCAGAGATCAAGAAGAGAATCGCCAAAGCTCTAATGAAGCATGAGGAGGATCAGAAGAAGAGCTACAAGTCTTTGTACCAGTCAATCTGTAGTATTCTTTCAGTAGAGAACAACCAAGACAATGAGACTCCTATCCTAGCATCAGATCGTGAACTCATGAGTCTCAAGAGCCAAGAAGAGAAACTGAAGAAGTCACTGGAGGCTAATAAGAAGCTCCAGGATATTACTCAAGAAATGGCCGAAGAGGTGAAGAAAGATCCATGTTTCAAGGAGGCTGATGACTCTAAGAAAGCAGAAATCACTAAAGCTCCAGTCATCGAGGTTTCAGAGAAGCCAGCTCCTGAAGAGACTCAAGTTCCAAAGGAGAATGAAATTTCAGTCCCAGAACTTGCAGGAGCTCAAGAACCTTCTAAAGATAATGAGATGCAACAAGAGTCAGTTCAAAATGAAGAAGTGAAGCAGGCTCCCTCCATGGATGTTGAGATGACTGAAGCTACACAAGCTCCTGCACCAGTTGAAGAATCAAATATCAGGGAACCTCCAGTGATAACTGAGACTGCTGTAGTACCTGAGAAGACTATCCCTGAGCCAGCCACAATTTCTCAACCTCTTGACCAAACTGAGAACCTTGAAGTGAAAACTGCACCTTCATATTCCGAACTAGGCGAATCAGTTCCTGAAAGACAATCTCCTACTCCCCTCCCAGACATCCTCGAAAATCCAGCTAAAGAGATCGCATCCTCTCTCTCCAAAATGATCCAAGAGACCGCGATCGAGTCCATCCCCACTCCACAACCTCCAGTCTCCTCCATCCAGCCCTCTGCTCCCGTCCACCCCTCTGCTCCTTCCCTCGAACCCTCCTCTACCCTTGCCTCTGAACCCAGAGACATAATCCCCGATCCTTCAGCAGCCCTCAAGATCCCATCACCCACTAATCTTTCACTACCCCCACCACTCTCCACACCCACACCTGAAGAAGTCACTCTTCCCCTCTCTACTACAGAAGTTAGCCCCACTCCAGTAGAACCCAGCATTCAAGTTGAAGCCACTGAAGCTAACAAGCCAGTGCAACATCCTGAAGAGAAGAGCACTTAAATTTGTATAACCTGATAAACAGTCCAGAAGATTTCCTGTCTTCAATTCTTAATAGGATTTATGGGGTTTTGGGGTTTTGGGGTTTTGGGGTTTTGGGG